CATCTTTTTGGAGATAGTTGGTGGTGTCATGTAGATGTGCAGTAAGGTTTAGGAATTTTGATTTTGCCCCGGGGGGTCAAATGGGGGTCGAAAAATGACATTTTCTATGCGAAAAGCCCCGTCTTCCCTGAACTCCTCTTACATTTTACACAGTAGGCTAATCATCTTTTGGGAGATGATTTGTAGTGTCATGTAGATGTGCAGTAAGGTTTCGGAATTTTAATTTTGCCTCGGGGGGTCAAATGGGGGTCGAAAAATAACGTTTTTTTATGCAAAAAGCCCCGTCTTCCCTGAACTCCTCTTACATTTTATACAGTAGCCTAATCATCTTTTGGGAGATGGTTGGTGGTGTCATGTAGATGTGCAGTAAGGTTTCGGAATTTTGATTTTGCCCCGGGGGGGGGCAAATGGGGGTCGAAAAATGACGTTTTTTATTCAAAAAGCCCCGTCTTCCCTGAACTTATCTTACATTTTACACAGTAGGCTAATCATCTTTTAGGAGATGGTTGGTGGTGTCATGTAGATGTGCAGTAAGGTTTTGGAATGTTGATTTTGCCCCGGGGGGACTAATGGGGGTTGAAAAATGATGTTTTAAAAATGTCTTAAATGATTTCTTTAAAACTAAGCGAAATACAAATAAAAAAGGATAGAGGTCAAGGTCACAGGAATGTGCAAGGTGAAGTTTTTGATGCAATTTAGTAGCTTCACTAATACATATCAGCATATTATGTTTGATAAAAATATCTTGAATTATTTAATGAAACTGAGCTTAACAGTTTTTCTAAAAAAAGAGAGGTCAAAGGAAAGGTTGGGGCCAAAATGTTGTTGCAGTTGACAAGCTTACATCAGTATGAATTTACTATTAGCATATGAAGTTTGATAAAACTATAATTAATGGTTTATTTAAAACTTAGATAAACACATATTTTAAAAAGTGAGGTCAAGGTCAAAGGAAAATTCAAGGTCAAAATAAGTTGATGTATTAATACCTCTCAGCAGTATGTATCAGCATATGGAGTTTGATAAATATATCTTGAATTGTTTATTCAAAACTGATCTAGACATTAATTTTAGAAAAGTGAGGTCAAGGTCACAGGAAAGGTCAAGGTAAAAAAGAGTGAAGCATTGTAAAGCTTACATCAGTATGTATCATCATGTGAAGACAGATTGAAGGGTGGAGGACGGACATGACAAAACTATACATGTATTCCTAATCATGGTGTGGCATAAAAAACTTGAATCTACATTATATGAGGATGTTTCCATCTATCAAGATTATACAAGCAAATTCAAAGAATTGTGGTCCTCTGCTTTCTGTGTTTTAGTGAATGGGATGCCATAATTTATGGCAGATTGTGTGTCAAATGTGCACCCCTATCATAGATCAATTTTTGAAAATTGGGTCAAAGGGGAAAAATCATAGCATGCTCTCAAACATTTTATTGCAGGTAATGTACATGTCAAATATGAAAGTCCTATCTCTTTTGATTCAAAAGTTATACATACAATATAATATTTTTGAAAAGTAGGTTAAACTTCTAGGTCAAGGTCACAGAGTCAAAAGTCATAATATATTTAGAAAAGTCTTTTCACATGTAATAAACATGTATAATTTGAATGCCCTTTCTTTTCTCTTTCAAAATAATCAATTTAAAATGTTATGTTTTGGAAAGTAGGTAAAACTTAAAGGACAAGGTCTTACTTGGGTTAAAAAATCATAGTATATTTAGAAAGTTTTGTGGTAATGTACATGTGAAATATGAAAGCACTATCTCTTATTATTCAAAAGTTATGACCAAGGTTAAATTTATTGTGACAGATGCACATACTAGCTGTCAATAAGATGGACAGACTGACAGACAAATGAGATTTAATGTCCCCTCCCTTTCCCCAAAATGGGGGACAATAATGCCCTTGCTGTTCTTGAGAAGAAGATTTATGATGGAAAAATTCCCTGCATATTTCTTAACGCAAATCAATATTGTGTTTTCATGTCATTTTGTTTGTTGTTAAACATCCCTCTCAGGAATTTTTCACTCATATGGAGACACCACCTCTTGAAAAATAATGAAGACAAATTAGATTTGAGGTCAACATTCATTTTTGGAGTTTTCAATCATTAAGACGTAAAGAAATATTAACTCGATTATTCCCCTCACCCATTCCCAGACCCCTGTTTGTTCATGTATGCAAACTACTACTTGTTTTTACATTTAAAAAAATGTTTATACAAATAGTTTAATGTGGTCCATCTCTGAATGATTTTCATTCCTAATTTTAGGAACATAGGTTGACACAAATTCATGAATAAAATGTCAAGTAATCTTATCATTGATGCACTTTTATTTAATTTAATGCAGTCATATTTAAATTGTGAACATTTCCAGCTCATTAGGAGAGTGGGGATGACCTCTAGGGGTTCATAACCTTTATACCATTAAATTTACATAACATAAAAACACAAGTAACAAAATTATATATAGTCAAATGAAAAAAGTTTCCTACTATTTAGGAGTCACATGATCATTTGTCAATAAAAATGACTTTGGATGCCAGTGTCCCTCCACCCTAGAAAACAGACCCAACCATAACTTTTTTTTTTTGCTTCTCAGGAAATTCTGGTCTGGAACCCCCCCCCCACCTCCCTCCCAGAAAAAAATTCCGGATCTTGTAACTGAATGTAACGCTGATAACGGGGGATAACTCTTCAGAATGTGAAATTCGTCTATTGTAGCATCGGATGACCTTTGATCCTTTCAACTTGAAGCTAACCGTTTGCATTTCAGACTATTTTACCCAAATCTATACCAAAACTTGTACTTACCGATTGTCATTATTTAGGCCTTGTCATCTTCATGAAATATAATCCAGTTAAAACACAAAATGAAATAATTCCTACTGACATATATGCAATGATGCACATTAGTAGCCTACTGCACGTGCAGTGAAATCTAAAATGATAATGCCAATGGTAAAACTAGTACTTAAGTTGGGTACGTGACGCAAGCCCAATGTGATGCAGGTGTTCAGATACATGTATAGAGCAAGAACAAATTGAAAATTATCATTTACAAAAGATGTTTTATTTTAACTTTGCCATCTAGGCCTATTTCCAAAACAGGCAAATAAGGTGTGTTTGTGTGTGTGTGTTGATGGGAGAGGGGTGCGGGTTGACTATTTTGATTGTGTATATGGCAGCTTTCAAGAAGTTTCTGCCTAATCAAATATAAATAAACTTTGCACATTTTGAAAAAATTCATCAAAAACGCTTTACACTAGTTTGAATAATATTATTTTTTGTTAATCTATATTAGAAAATAGATTTAAAAAGTTCCAATTACGTACAAGTAGAATTTTTAGCGAGGATTTAATTTTGGCATTATTAGCGAGGGTGCTGACATCGCTAAAATTGAATACCGCTGAAAATTAATTGGTTATTATTTGTAAAAGCTTCTTGAATTAGCATTTTAAAATCGCTAAAATTACTTCTCGCTAAAAATAAAATACCAGATTTTAGGAAGAAATCGCTAAATTTGCGTTTTGCTAAAATTTCCACTTATACAGTATGTGCCAAAAATTTATACACCCGCCCCCCCTTTATCAAACCTAATTTACATTATTAATTTAATTCTGTTGTTTTATTTCCGACTGGTAATCAATTATGAATATGCAATACCAATAAGATGGAGTCCCATGGGTCACATGGTCACTAGCTGCAAATCTGTAGCGTTATGGTTTTATATATTAGTCTTTGACCATAAAGCTACAGATCCTGTAATGCAAAAAAGGTGCAATTTACGGCGCAATATTTTTGCGCACTTCTGGGGAGAAATTCTCCACTTTCCAGCATCAGTTAATTTACTACCTTTCACTCCCTAATTCTAGGCACATTGTTTAACTAATCTGTATATTTTATCCATCTCCAGTCCTTTTATAGTCGTCTCTACACGTGATAAACTCGCTTGATTAAAATTATTTATTAGATTGCTGAAAATTCACATCAAGCGAGTTTATTGCCTGTAGAGATGACTATACATGGCTGGGGGTGGACAAAATATACATATTGGCTACAGAATGTGTCTAAAATTAGGGAGTGAAAGGTAGTTGATTGACCAATGCTAGAAAGTGGAGAAAAACTGCCCAAAAGGGCGCAAAAAATATTGCGCCGTAAATTGCACCTTTTTTGCATATGGGGATCTGTAGCGTTATGGTCAAAGACAAATATATAAAACCATAACGCTGCAGATCTGCCGCTACATGGTCACCTGAGCATATTATGTTCAATTTGATGAATACATGTATTATGTAAATTATTGAATTATATTGACTTTTTCCTTGGTAAAGCCCAATATGAAGAAGTGTGCATTTAGAGGCAAACACCATAGTGCGGGTATTACTGTCTCATGACAGCATCTAGTTTATATATTGATTTAGGATACTTTGTCCATTAAAATGTATGCTGCCGTCACTTTTGTACCGGGCTTCATCTCTTTTTTTTCTTAGCAGACGATGGCAAATGTTTTATCATGTAAGGTTGTACAACTACAGTATGTTCCACTTACTTGTTTTTATGAATAACTGATTTTCAATTTATCTATAGAACCATAGCAAACATGGGCTCAAAATCATCATTGGATCAGGTGTCATGATGGAATAAGCATTACATGACGATCGATTAAGTGAAAATTATAATATAATTATCCAATTTGTTAATTTTAGTGAAACTGGAATGACTGAATGCTGTACAGATTATTATAGAACAAAATCAGATTCATGCAAACGTAAGCATATGTCTAATGAATCTTATTGAATTTAAAAATAAACATAACTTAATTAAACTCTTTTAATTTAGACATCTTGTGTAATTTCAGCTTGCATTGGATACTTTGAAACTGTTCAACCCCGTGTTCTTTTGGTTATTATGGTCATGGTTGTCGCAAAAGGTGTATATGCAGCAGAGATACACATTACTGTGACGCCAATGAAGGATGTATTAAAAGATATTTTAGCCAAACACGTGAGTAACTACATGATCTCGGTCAAATGATGAAAAAAAAACTTTGAGAAAGTAAGACGTACACATACTACTTCTAACGTCCAAGCTGCATTTTACACCCATCATAAAATTCTATATTTCATTTCAAAAAATGAAAAGCAAGATTAAAAAAAATGTTCATTGGTCTTTATAACAGAAGTGGAAAAAGGATTTTCATTGAAGTATTCATTGAAAACAACGCCAGAGTTTCAAACATCCGGGTATTAAAAGAAATGGATAAGTGACGCTGAAATTAAACTTTAACACTAATTATATAAATAATTGAAAATACAAACGGAGTTTGAGTCTAACGTTTGAGAAATATTCCTTTTGGGTATAAATATTTAAATAGTCAAGTACCCTTTTTTCGGAAAATAATCAATGAAATATTGTACATGTATAATTTTCAGAAAATACATTGTGTACTATTTTTCTAATCTGATATGATATGCTCTCTATCATTGCCATACGCAGACTGTGGAATAATCTTTGATAGCTAGCATATTTTTTACATGGCTGATAGTACTAGCGTAATTAATAACTAGATAACCAGGGAGATGGAAACATTAATACATGTGTTAACCATAACGCGTTGATGAGCTTCTGGTTAAGGTGGCTCATTACACCCACAGTTTATTTTATATTTCATTAGAGAACCATTAATAATGTACATTTCAAATATCCAAATAAAGGTTATTGTACTTTAAATATTTTTTATGAATTTTTCAATTTTTTTTCTGATTATAGCAAAATAAGTTATTTGAAGTTTCTCATCAGTAAAATTGCAGAAATTTCGGTGTCAATCTATGGGTATCTTCCTCAGTTATGAAAAGAAAAGCAAAACACTTCATAAAATGCCATGGTATTTTTATTAGAAAAATATTTTTTTATCCCAAAAACAAATAATGTACCCATCTTCTTTATCTGTGCATGAATGAATGGAAAAATCTGTTGTAAATAGACAATAAATATATATCAATTATTAGAAAGAGAGAAATTGAATGAAAAATTTTAAAATTAAAGAAAAATTACAATTAAAAAAAAAGCTGGTATGAAAATTCCACTTGTAAGAGTTATCTTTCCTAATTCACCCAGACTCAAAACACTGGGGAACTTTTAATCATCTTATATTCAGAATAAGAAATAATTTGAAGATATTAATTAAGAAAATGTATTTTTGCCATAATTTGATAAATTTAACCCAATCACATACTGTATTTGTATAACCTGTAAGAGAACTGCAAAAAAAAAAAATGAAATTGAGAAAAGTTGCAGGATTGTGAAATGATAAATATAGGGTTATAAAACATTTTAAAAAATTATATACATGTATGTACACAATCAGAGTACACATATGCTTTCTTTAAAAAAATACACACATTATACTTACAGTGCCCAATAATACAAAAAGCACAATGTATGTACAGAAGCCATGTTCTTTGTAATTTTTAGATTTACAGTTGAACATGAAATAGAATATGATTGATGTGATATATAAAGATGAAATATTAGAAAGCTAATTGCATGCAACTACATGTACTACAAGCACATACACAAACTACATGTACTACAAATACATACACTGACACAAACAACTACAACAGACAAATTCTGCAAAAAAAAAAGAAAAAAAAGAAAAAGAAAATGTACAACAAACACAGAAGAACTAACAAACAAAAAAAAATTTGACAAAGCAGGCACAAGCATTACGCCACACATAATACTTACGTGATGTATATCAGAAGGTTCGGAAATTTAGTATACCCTACCTGGCTTCTCAAAATAATATACTCACAAACAGTGAACTATTCCTCAATGAAGTCGGTAAATATAAAATCTGCAATTGTACAATATACTTTAAAACATATAATACTAATAATAAAATATAAAACTATCAAATATTATTTTACTTTGAATGAATTAAAAAACTGGTTCTGGTCTAAAAAAAATTAAAATACAATTTAGCAGAAGTGGTCATAAATCTTCCCAAGAATAGTTTTGTTCTTTGTAACTCTTACACTACCAGTCTCTGTTTTTTGTCCCAAAACATTTGCTAAACCTTCAAAACCTCCCCTTTCTTTAGCCAGTCTAAGATGATCATAAGACAATCCAGATTTAGCAATTTTTTTTAGCATGTAGTCTGAGATACATAAGGAGAGGGGAGCAAGTGTAGAGATTAATTCATCAGATTTAGTCTTGTTTTCAATAGATGAAAGTACAAAATCTACACTAAAACTGTGCTTGATCATGACTTCACTGGATACCTGGTGGTATAAAACCAATGACTGCAAGGCCTTGACATCTTCCAGTGCTGAATGGGCATTATAATTCATTCCCATGGAATCGAGAACCAGCGACTGCAGTTTGTGTGAATGTCTTTCTGGTAACACTTCTTTAAAAACATGAAGACTATCTACAAACCCAGCTATTGTTGTTTTTAACCCACTTTCTGGATATTGCATGATACTTCTCATCAAAACAACAGAATCAAACATTTTTCCATTGTGACACACTAGAAGTGGTTTTGTAATTTTTTTCAACCAGATGTTAAAGTCTTTTAAACAAGTCTGAATATCAACTGAGTCTACTTTTGTTTTCTGATAAAACAACTGTCCACTGGCAACATGAAGCCCAGTCACTGCTGATGCTTTGGCACTTATAGGTGATGAAGGAAGAACATACCTATTGAAAGTTTCTTCTCCAAATATACAGGCGAGCTGTGTTATTTCTGCTGATGCACCAATGAAGTTAGCATACAATACACATTTTGATATGAAAGAAAAATTCATGCATAAGGACATATATAAAGCATTAATACATTTTAAAAATTAATAAATTCCAGGTTATATTTTATTTCTATGAAATTTTTTTAGCTCAATATTCAGAAAATTTATTCAATTTTCTTGTTTATACAAACCTAACCCAGTTGTTTCCAAGTCAAAATAAACAAAGCTGGAGTCTGTGTCTGTTTCCAGAGTATTAGGTTTCAGATGTGGTACACAGTCTGGTATTTCTTCTTGAGGTTCATTATTTGATAGACCAATACCGGATTCATACGTGGTCCCCTCTTTTACTTCACAGGTGGATATCTTTCAATAAAAAATTACAAATAAAACTTGACAAAATAGATTTACATAATTCATGTGACCAACTTTAAAACATTAAATTATAATTTATATTTTGATATACAAAATTACATGTTGAAAGGCAAAAATATCAAAATTTAAACTTACATGGCTTGATTTCATTTTCTTTAGTACATGGCGACGTTTCTTGTAATCAGCACTGCTTTTTCTTGATTGATCTTTATCCCTCCTATTAGCCATTCTCTTCTCATGTACCTTTGTATGCAGTCCTGGTGAAAGCATCAAAGTATCATATACCTAAAACAAAGTCAAAATAATTTAAATGTGCAGAAATACTAAGTTGTGTACATGTATTTCCTAGAAATCTATAGTACATGTATATGGAAAAATAATTATATATGCTGACATGTAATCTTTAATAAAATATCTATCTTTAAAAGAAGTTACACCTTTTCAATGGTCAGGTGTCCAATATTCTTATGGGCTACAGCAGCTGCTACTCTAAATGCTGTACTTTCAGAGCCACTATAATATATATTCTTTGGGTTCTTGCAAGCCACAATTCTATTGAAATTTTCATTTGCCTGCGTGCTTCCAAGGTTTGAAAGTTTGCTTGCATTTTTAGCCAAATCTGTAAACACTTTCTTCAAGTCTTTGTACAAATCCGCACCAGACAAATACTTCCCATATGGTAAGTGTACTGGTTTGTAGTTGTCTGGGTCCTGGAGATACTTGCACCATTCACTTTCACAGGTCTTATGGTCTCCAAACACATGTGAAGGAATAGATTCTAAATTTCTCTGCAAAGTGCTTGTGTCCTTGTTGGATTTTACTGCATATGAGAAACATTTCAATAAATGTTGAATTGCTTTAGGGCCTAGCAGAGGATACTTCTTCTCTTTCTTCATGTCATATAATTTACTTGCAAGGTTTTTTTTTTGTATGATTAGAATCCGAAATTTTTTGAATATTTGGATCGAATGATGCTTTTGCCTTTGCTAAGGTTGTTGAGTCATTATCCATGATGAGATTTTTTACTTGGAAATTACGTGCTTTTAAGTCATGCAGCATTTCTGAGGCCATATCACACTCCATCGCTTTGGAAGACTTTTCCCAATTTTTTCGGCAATCATGTCCTGTAACTTCTGCATCTGTAGCATTATCACAAAATCTGTTTGAAAAAAAAAGAATATTAAGATGTGCTTATTATACACTGGCACCCAAGACAGATCTTTCCACAAGGAATACACTATGTGTAATGTGAAACCACAAAATTATCAGAAGTCATAGGCAAAGTCGAAATGTTTGCGTACACGTACAGTATGATTTTGCTTTAAATCCCTGATTACAGGAGCACAAGAAATAGTTGATAAGTACGCAATAAATATACAAATAAATTTAAAAACATTATAGCATAAAATAACATTTAGCCAATACCTGCATTTCTTACAACGAACGGCATATGAAAGAATTTTTCCTGTGTTTTTTCCTATCATACTTGCACGTCCTTGAAAAATGAAACAAAGAAAGAATTACAAATTTCATTGCAAAAATGTTTTAAAAGGTTATCAGATATTGTGTGTTCGACATAAGCATATTGGATGTTGTTTGATAATATCAGAAGCAGTGAGACATATGTTACCTGATAAACTTGCATAGTTTCGTCCACTACCTCTGGTCTGCCATCCAGCATCAAAGGACACAGAGTAATTTTCAGGATCTTGTGATCTAAATTTATATGAAAATAATTAACTCTATGCTTAAGAAAACATTTTTATTTTATACATAATTCATTTATATAGCCCTCTTACTTATTCTTTTCCTCGATTAGAGCATCATTGCATGTTTCGTTGGCTATGGCTTCAAAAACACTGCCAACCTCTCTCTCTCGTCGCTTTAAAGTCACAGATGTAACAGTTGGGATATTAAGAGTGGCAAGAAAATTATTTATCACCATCTCTCCTTGGCCACAAAATAGTACAGCTGGAAAAAATTCAAAGGCTGGGGTTTGATTTTGAAACAATCAAAATATATATCCAAATTTACAAAATTTCATCTTTTTGACTTGAATAATAAATTGTTCCAAATTAATCCAATACCTGCACCCAATTTTGTGTTTATATCCCATGCATTTTGACAATGCCTTTTTCCAGTAGGAACATTATTAATTTCTCCACACTCCTTGCACTGAATTTTTAAGAGGCAACCTAGAAAAATTATTGCTAAAATCTTGAAGGAATACCGTAATTATATAATATATTTTTCTGATTGAAAATTATTCATTTTAAAATAAAATAACATTTAATTAATTGATATATATATATACTTGGATTAGCACTACTTGTATAGGAAATGGAAAGAGATAGAAGAAAACTTTTTAAAATATATTTACCTAGACCATATCTGAGCTCTCCAACACAACAAGAAAGTTTAAGTTCTGCTGAACATTTACAACAACCTTCATCTAATTTTTCAGCTAGATAACTCAGCTCAACTATTCTGCGGCCTGCCAGAATCCCCTCTCCTTCATCCAGCTCTACCTCATCCTCATCACTCTCAATGTCTGATTCTTCATCAGCATTTTCAAAACAATTATCTGTATGAAATTATTAGTTTTTTTATTACTTGTAATAAACCTCATGATGAAAAAAAGAATGATTGCAAATCATTATATTTTATATTACCAGGTGACAAGGGCTGGTAATGCTCTGTATTGTCAACATCATCAGCAACAGCAGCATCAGCATCATTATCTAATAAATATCTACGCTTTAGACCTACAGAAAAAAAACTTCTTATATAATTATTTGGTCCCTTTAAACAGTGAAATGTGTACCTGCTTGGATATTTTTATTTTCATCAAAGCAAACTTGGCAAAGAACCTATATTTTTCTTAAGATAACGGTTTAATAACGTTTTAATATATAGGCCTTTATGTCAATATTTTACACATCTCGGTATATACATTTAGTTAAAACAAGCACTTTAGCCTTGCTATCACGCGAACTATCATGTTAAAACATATATTCATGTACAATGTACAGTGTACTGTAACAATACAATCAATAATTTGCACTGAAATTAGCTTTAATGAAATGAATGTCATACCTTTGCTATAACAGTGGTCATTACTTATATGGTCTGGCTCGTCCATGGTATTTAAGAACCACACGATCACCAATTTAGACCATCACTGGCACTGCATCAGCTGATCGCGCAGATCACAAACCAGTTTGTTTTCGTTCTCTGTGTATTTTTTTTCTTTTGTGAAGCATAATAGAAACCGTGTTTATGAAACGCTTTAAAGATTCAGATCACGATGGAAGCTTTTTGCCTCCTTTTTAAAAGAGCAGTGCATATACAATTCGCCCCCACTACAAAAAAGACCGAATCAATGGAGGTGTATTTTTTTGTGTACTACGTCATCAAAAAGTGGTGTATCGAGCCTCCTTAAATCTTCTAGCAGTTGGATCCATAGGATTACTTTGGGGTTTTTTTGCAGATGCCGATGGTATGTTAAATTTTACGTCAGCATTCTACCGAAGATTTATGTCTATATTATTTATGAAACTAGGTATATCAATAATGTGTTTAATAGAAATTTTTTGACATCACATTCAGGAAATTCCATACATTTCTTTTTAAAAACAAAGTAGAATCAAATGAAAAAATTCATTCGATTCCACCCGATTTGAAATTTCTTCAAAGTAAAATAAATGAAAATTCTCTTTCAGGTACACCTATAGAAGTGGACAGGAAAGTGACAAGGGAATCTGAATTAGTAAAGGAAAAAAATGTTTTAAGAATATATAAAAAATCCCAAATAAAATGTTTGCAATAAAATTAAGCCAAAAATATATACCAATCCAGACATCCATTTTTGTATCATCTGGCCTTAATGCGACCATCGAAAGTAAGGAAATTTAACTCAAACATTAATCTGTTTACAATGACCTTTACCGAGATTGTAAAATTATGAAAAAAGATTTTTCAAGAATATTTTTTTTAGTTAATCATTCTCTTTAACGACCTCAGTATGATGCAAAAATTTGTTTCAGACCTATACGTTCCTGGGTTTATGACTTCTAATGCCCTCAGTTTTTTAGAATCAAGAAACAGATCAGTTCAGTATGTTTGTCAATGATAAGAATCTGATATCTTGTACTTTCGCAGCTTTGTTTGTGGCATAAATCCATGTTTTAAAGAATTAGCATTCTGGAAACAGTTTAAATAAATCACAGCACGTCCGACCAGAAAGAGAATCATCCATAAATTCTTTAGATAGTGATCAAATCGAGAGAAGTACTAATCCGACTAGATCTTACCGTCCGCTAAATTACAACAGACCTTGAGAACGAAGCTTCCAAGGTCCCAGTCGCTTTTAGATGGAAGCAGACGATTTGAAAGGTACTCTGACGACTGTAATCTCTTATATAATTAGAGTTTTATAGCAATTCAACAATACCTAAGAGGTTTGTTACCGATGGCAACTACAACAAATTGAATGCAACGACATCACATCCCTGCAAGAACACCAAGTTTGGAAAAAATTATAGAAGAGAATAGGTATGTTTCACTTGTTTTGAACGAGATAAGGCTTGTTTCATGGTCTGACCTTACGCACACAAGCAAAAATGTGTGGACATATCATATGTGGATGAAATCTGTACCAACACTAGCAATAGTTTGCCGTATATGAAATGTGATTCACTTGATTCCACAGATGGCGATATGAATTCAAATTAAAAAAGTAATCCGATGTATCAAAATAAAGCATATAAATCAATCTTATGATTTGTACATCGACTTCACAAAAAACTATGAAATTTATAACTACCCAAATAATAAAACATTTTAAATATCTAGCCTGGGTATAATTTTATTCCGTTGCTTATATTTTTGAAATAGAAATTAAGTAAAATGCTGACTAACTGGAGAAAACACTTGCTGTGACCCTAAAGGCCCTTTCACAATTGGCGCACGAGCACTTTACAACACTTTGCGATCGGAAAAGTTTAGCTTCGCACGAGCTCTTGCATACGTTGCACGATGTCTCGCATTCATTGCATGTGTTTTAGTGGTCGCATCAAGTCTCTTCAAAATAGTCAACATGCACACTATTCAGACGCGACCAAATGCGATCCAAATTATCGCAATTCAACGCACGAAAGTTAGTGCGAATGTTTTACAACATTTTATGTACTCGTAAGAGTGATGTACGATTTTTAAAGATCGTAAGATGAATCGCAGCTGTCTTTGCGTGTGTTTTGCGACCATGAGACTGTTGCTCAACATGTCTCATGTAATCCTGCAACGTTTTACTATCATTGCTTGATTTATCACCTTCAATTGCCATTCTTTGCAACATGTATTTATACCATGTATAATTATAAGCATCTTAACTATGTCAATTGAAGAGCGTCGGAAACGGGTGGTATATATACCCGGCCCTCTGATTCGCACGAACATTCGTACGATGGAATGCATGAGCGCACGAGCACCGCACGTCCAATAGTATTGTCGCACGTTCAATCGTCCGATTACCTGATCAGTCGTGCAATCCTATCGCATGCTCTTACAACACTCGCTTTCATTCTACAACAGTCGCGTATAGACGCAAGATATATCGCAAGATTTAATGCACAACAGTCACTTTAAATCGTGCGCATTTCGTACGAACACTTTTTCATATGCGATTATTTTGGCAACAGTTTACGATCCTAGACAAAATTTTTCGGTCGCTTCTGCTCGTGCGCCAATTGTGAAAAGGCCTTAATCTTGACATGTTGATTTATTGACGGTGTTTTATCTTTAACAATTATACCAACTTTCATATGTCAATTCCAGTGAAATAAGAGACAAAATAGAGTCGACGTCTGTTTGGTGAATCGGGAGAGCGTCTGCTCTAGAGTTGAGGTGTATGGAGTTAATTCTTAAGACTTGGGATCGAATCCAACTAAGGTGCGTGGAGCGTGGAAGATATTCCTTTGAACAAACCGTAAAAACCGAGGTCCTCTGTCGTATTAGACGCTGGCATAAAAACATCTCTCACTGCTCAATGGCCCTTGGTACCTATTATAGGTCAACGGCAAGTTTGCGATTTCACGAAACATGAAGGAAGATAAAATACAAAATTCGAGCCCAAAAGACCATGAAACAACAAAACAACGCTTCATTGTATCTAGGTCTTCGTCCAAATTGATAGAATTCTGACAGACAATGATGGGTTTTCTGAATTTCATATATATTTTTTATTTGGTCGTTAAACTGAAGGCTACATACGAAATGCTAGACCCTTTGTATTTTTTTAAATACAAAAATAATATCACAGAATGTTATGTTTACCTAATCAATTTATAATTTGTTAATTTAATGGTGGATATTCAAAGTACAATTTTATTCATGAACTTTGTGGCAGCGCAGATTGCAGATTTGAAAAACTGTAGCAGGTGTGTTTACATTTTTGATCACAAAATGTGATATATTATACTTAATGATTATAAATGATGATAAATACGGAGCCATCCTCTTTCATTTTTGATAATTAAATAAAAATGTTCAATATAATGGAATAGTGATCTAAATTCATGTTTCAGTATCTTCTTGTTGCTTAAATTTCAAGAGGATTATATCGTCCAAAGTATAAAGTTATGAATTTCCGCATATATATAAATTAAGTACACAGTCGGTGTGATTCAACATTAGAATTTATTTGCATATTTGCAGATGTTGTCCAACACAATGTGCGTTGCTGTCATTTTTGTTTTGTGCTTCATCTCTTTTTCTTATGCAGATGAGGACACATGTATTAACGAGTAAGATTTTTCAACTACCGTATGTTCTTCATCTTTCTTGATTTTATTGATTTATCTTTCTGAAACCTGCTAAACATTAAATGACAATTTGACAAAAGGTTATGCTGTGTAGTTTCCCACTTTCTCTTTCCACAGAAAATGCAGACCGATTTTTATTATTTTTCAACTTTCCTAGAAAATCAGCGATTTGTTTTGATCGGTTGTTTTGACGTCATATAAACAATGGAAATTTTACAGATACAGAAAAAAATTCTTAACAACTTTATCAGAAACTTAAAAAATCGTGATATCGCTTATAATTATCTCATTAATTATTAATTTTAGTTCAACTGGAACACCTGAGTGCTGTGCAGATTATAAAAGAACAATATCAGGTTTATGCAAACGTAAGTAGATATCTTTTACATCTTATTAAATTTAATTATTTAATGAAGGATATGGAGATAACGAATAGTATTCAATATCAAAGTCCATTAAACAACACAAAAATAGTTGCAGAGCAAAAACAGATCGGTAGGATCAGGTGCCATGGATGACTAAGCATCCCCTAACGACCGTTCACACTTGCCGTGTGCTCCTTGTCATCATCAGGAAAACAACAGAAGAATCCGTTGTCAATATAGTGTATAAATAATGGACTAACAATAGTATAAATAAGTATCAAAAAACATTAGTTAGCATTTGACTCAATGATAAATTGTATTTGATGACCAAGTCATTATATCGACCATAGATCAAAACATTTTCGTTTTCAACTAATACTCGTTGTATAATTTCAGCTTGCATTGGATATTTTGGAAAAAACTGTTCTACACCGTGTTTTATTGGATTTTATGGTCATGGCTGTCGCAAAAGGTGTAATTGCACTAGTGATACACATTTGTGTGACGCCAAGTTAGGATGTATCGAAAGATATAGTAATCAGATACGTAAGTGGATTTTTCTGATAGATGCTCGTTTTCTGTCATAATTTTTATTTTATAAAACGTCACATGTTATCCAAATTTGTAGAAAATGAAATCATTTTTACTATTTTTTTTTTCAATTTCATGATTTTCAAACTTATCCAGAATTAAAGTCTGCAAAAATGGGATCGCAATGCAGGTCAAATCAAATAATTTACAAACAGTACTCTAAATAATGTCTGTAGTCATATTCTATGTAAAATTTAACAAAAAAAAACCTTCAAGTTTTAAAGAAAGAAGTGTTGCATTTATTCATATTCAAAATTATGGCTTAATATTTTGCTTCATTAAAAGGAAATCAATTAGAGAAGATAGGTAGCCCCCACAGTTAACAACAAAAGGATGATGTTGTATAACCCCACGGAGCAGAAGTTCGTGTCGCAATTTTATGATATACTTGGGGAAAAAGTCCTGAATAAACTCTAAGAAGGTTAAGTGGAACAATTAAAAAATTCACAGGCGAGTCGTACAGCTGGTAAATTTCCTAAAGTAGTATTATGAAGACTGGCATCAACCACGTACTTTTCGAACAACCCTCGAAACTACATGGTCTTGGCTAAATGATGATAAAAATGTTTTTGAAATACTGTAAATCACTTTTTATTCGCGAGAACTTTATTTTCGCGTAATTACGCGAGAGGGTATGCTCGCGAAAATTTCAATCTCGCGTAAAATACAATTTCTTAAGATTATATAGAGCAATGACCACAATTCGTGAAAATTTTGTCTCGCTTATAAAGAGTCAATGAATCTCTCGCGAAAATAAGGTGTCGCGAAAATTAAGTGATCTACAGTAGAAAGAACCATGCACGCTCAGCCTTTATTCCCGGCTGTTGCATCTCAGATCACTCATCATATAACTCTGTATCAAATACAGTCTGATAACGTATTTTGATACAAAAATAAAATACATTTATGTTCCTTAGTTCTCCTGCCAAACGACTGAGCTTGTTTTTTGATAAACAGGCAAAAACAAATAACATCATGCTGAAGTGAAATATGTCATTTATTAAAGTAAATAACGGAAAAGTAAAACACATTTAACAAATTGGGGGTCAGAAAAAGGAGGACTCAAATATAGAGTATTACACATCTTAGTCAAAATATTACACAATCTGACCCCCAGGACCATAATGACATTGTAACATGATGTACATAGGCAAAAGGGGGGTCAACCAGACTAGAATAATAATTCCAACCCTGTAATCTTTCACAAGGTACAATATACATGCATTTTAAGTTGACCCCCTTATAAAAGGGCAAAACATCAAATAATTTTTAAAAGTGTACAAAACACCTGTCTGTAGTAAATATTAACCAGACAGCAAAATGGGAATTTATAATCATGGACAATGACCTTGTCAACTGCAGACAACTTCTGACCAGTCAACAAAGTTGTTAAACTTACATCATTCTGCATCAAAATGTGCCTCTTGACTGCAGACAACTTCTGAACAGTCAACAAAGGTATCAAACATACACCATGCTGCAGTCAACAAAGTTGTTAAACTTACACCATTCTGCATCAAATATGCCTCTTGACTGCAGACAACTTCTGACCAGTCAACAAAGGTATCAAACATACACCATGCTGCAGTCAACAGAGTTGTTAAACTTACACCATTCTGCATCAAAATGTGCCTATTTACTGCAGACAACTTCTAACCAGTCAACAAAGGTATCAAACAAACACCATGCAGCCTTAAAGTGCCTCTTAACTGCAGGCAACTTTTGTTCAGTCAACAAAGTTGCTAAACATACACCATGCTGCATAGACATAAAAATATGCCTCGTGACTGCAGACAGTTAACTTCTGAAGCAGTCAACAAAGGTGTCAAACATACACCATGCTGCATAAAATGTGTCACATGACTGCAGACAACTTCTGACCAGTCAACCGAGATGTCAAACTTATAAAAATGTTCCTCTTAACTGCAGAAAACTTCTGACCACTCGAGAGGAAAAACAGATTACCAAACTGAAGGTTTAAATTTGTGAGGATAGGTATAAGGAACCAACAGACAACTTCTGGCTTGGCTTGGCGGAATCAAACAATACAGATAATGTCATACATATGGTATAACGCTCTGATATACTATTGGTAACTGATGTCAACAAGAGACATTTCAAATAAATTAATAAATACTGTGTATATTTAAAGTAATGAAACTGCCTCAACACGTATGGCCCCGTGCTCAGTGACATATAGCATAAACAAAGTGGTATAAATTCCTTAACACGTATGGTCCCGTGTTTAGAAAATCTTCCATTTACAGCATGTGACCCATTAAACACGTATGGTCCCGTGTTTAGAAAGTCTTCCATTTACAACATGTGACCCACTAAACACATATGGTCCCGTGTTTAGAAAATCTTCCATTTACAACATGTGAATCACTAAACACGTATGGTCCCATGTTTAGAAAATCTTCCATTTACAACATGTGACCCATTAAACACGTATGGTCCCGTGTTTAGAAAGTCTTCCATTTACAACATGTGACCCACTAAACACGTATGGTCCCGTGTTTAGAAAATCTTCCATTTACAACATGTGAATCACTAAACACGTATGGTCCCGTGTTTAGAAAATCTTCCATTTACAACATGTGAATCACTAAACACGTATGGTCCCGTGTTTAGAAAATCTACCATTTACAACATGTGACCCACTAAACACGTATTAGTGAAACATTCCATGTACAAGATGATCTAATTATTCAAATACATATGGTCCTGTGTTTAGCCAATATCTATTACATGATGTAACATACTAAACATGTATATGGGCCTGTGTTTAGTCAAACATTTCATGTACTAAACATCTTCTTTCTAAACACGTATGGTCCCGTGTTTAGAGAAATATTTTTATATACAACATGATGCAACAACTTAACACATATGGTCCTGTGTTAACTGAGATATTCCATATACCAAGTGATGCAACTTTCTTAACATGTATGGCCCCATGTATAGTGAAACAACATTGCATACAACAATCGAATGCATAAGCTTAAAAGCATCATCAATAGAAATTGCAGGGTTAATAAGCATGTATTTTTTCCTGCATGACAGTAAATCCTCATTAGGATACCATTATGCTACAGTAATTTGCATTTGTCAAACGTATGGTCCCGCTCGACGGCTACTGAGCTCTGCAGAGATTGATTATAGAGATGATCCATGAACTGTGTTCACCCTTTGTTTCATATTTTGTAGAACAACTATTATAGAAGATATGATTTCACAAAATGTGTTTCTTTTAAAGGACCTGTGATTTTACCATTTTCTTTCTTTTTCCATCTAAAAATATATATATTAATGATCCTATGATCACCCTAAGTCTTCTTTGATTTCTAGAAAGTTTTATTTTAGGTAGTTTAGTACTATCTGACATAAAACTTGTAAATATCCCTCTGATATGACTTTCAGTTTACTAGATCTTGATCAAAGCTTTGAAATATTCAAATGAATCTCTTTATCCTGAATAAGGTTAGTTTTTAGATTAAAGTTTTTTTTTTATGTGTGTGTGTGTGTGTGTTTTTTTTTATGCATCGGTCAATTGAGTTAAAGTGATTGGAATTCATAATTTTGGGCCCTGCTGCATATCTCTAACCCCTGTTTCAGAAGAATTGACTAAAGTTTGCTTCATGTACTGATAAAAGACATGAAGTGTATAAAAATCATTATTTCAAAATTAGGATATATATATATATATATATATTTTTTTTTTTTACAGAAACTATTGAATTCAGTGAAAAACCATTTTATCCTGATATTATCTTACTCAATGGACTTGTTGACAGAGCAGTCCCCAGAAACATGAACCAATACATCACCCAAACTTAAAGTGGCTGTTGCCACAATACTTTGCTATGTTGAGGCAATGTCCTTGGTAATGGGCACTTGTTTGTCCACTGTTGTGTTGTCTGTGCATGCATATCTGATTTCTGACTGTTGTTTCCACATGGCCCATATAGTTTCTGCAAGTGTTACCCAGTGTGGATAGTGTCTGTTTCTAATTTGGTGGGATAGGTAACTCTGGAAAAATAAAAGTGTAAACTACTATCCAGTATATGATATTCATTTTTTTTTTAATCAAGTGCTCTGATCTAAATCAATATTTTAAGCCATGTCCTATACAACTGAACAATCAGAACATGCAAGATAAATTCTTAGAGAATGACATAATTATTTTACTTTGGGTATTGCACAGCTGCAATAAATCAACAGGGAATAACAGGTTATGTAAATTCCAACATGAGAATATGTCTACATATATGCAGCATAAATTATTCTCATTATAACATTATATTACCAAAAAAGCACTTCAAAATTTGCATGTCATAATATACTACCATGCAGGTCTTGCACAAATCAACAAACACAAGTGCATTATTGTGCATATGGTCCTGCACAATCCAATAAAATACATGTGTATATGGTCCTACACAAATCAACAAACACAAGTGCATTACTCTGCATATGGTCCTGCACAATCCAATAAAATACATGTGCATATGGTCCTACACAAGTCAACAAACACAAGTGCATCTGATCCTGCACATTTTTCCCTGCAAAGTTCAACAAAATTCATGTGTATATGGTCCTACACAAGTCATCAAAAATGTGTGCATAGGGACCTCCATGAGTCAACAACTTGCATGTGCATATATTGTCCTGCAGAAGTTACTAAGTCAACAAAATACATATGCATATGGTCCTGCACAAGTGACTAAGTCAACAAAATACATGTGCATATGGTTGCGTACAAGTCAACAAAACAAAATGTATGTCAATTTGGCATTATTATGTATGGTTCTGCATGAGTCGACAAAATACATGTGAATATAATTCTGCCCAGATCAACAAAATGCATGTGCATATAATCTTTCATGAGTCAAAAGGTAATACATGTGCACATGGTCTTGTCCATGTCAACAAAATACATATGCATATTGTTCTGCACATGTCCACAAAATATGCGTACATGTTCCTACAAGAGTCAACCAAATGTGTCAGTGAAATGAATGTGAATATGGTCCTTCACAATCATAAAATACAACATAACGTGTAAATCAGTGGTGGGTTTGCATGGTAAACATAAGTAGTGTATGTGGACCTCACTCTACACTAATTCTCAGTAAAAGGTCACCTGAAACTATGGTGTGCACCCTTAGCAACAATACTATATCAGCATTAAATCATGTAAATCGTTCTACCTATATACAAGCTGTGCCTATGACCTGCAGTTTATGTGATAAATGTGTATGTGGTCCCACGTACACTATATCTTGATTCAACAATTGAAAGTTTGAATCATACACGATTTGTGTACCCATATAATGACAATATTTTACCAACATCATATAGGCAACTAACTCCAAACAATATTTTTGGCTCCATGAACAACTTGAGTAAACTTGAGTAAGATCATTCATTGTTCAAACTCTTAAAAGGAAAAGCAGAATTTGTTACCAAGTATAATACCTGTATTGGTAAAAATATTGCAAAATTATATAAGGAACCAAAAAACTTAAGCCTTTAATTATGAGCTAATTAACTTAATGTTAATGGATAACACATGACTTCATCAGAAGTACTATACTATACTGGCCTGTTTTATACTGGGAATGCAGGAGTGTAAAGTGAATACTACATCAGCATCAATGGAGATCTCATATTAAACTTGTAAAAAGGTAACACTCGTCACTGCTGAGCTGTTTATATTCACTCATCAATATCTGGTTTGTGTAGATGATTCTGACATTCAAGTCCTTGAAGAAGTGAAAGGTTTCCACTGTAACAAACAGGTTCTTATTCCCCGGCTAAGGTGAATGTAAGAAGCAAACTGTCTTGTGATATTTTGGATGGACAGTTAATAAAAATGATGTTATTACATAGATGCGCATTTTCTAAGCTCAGCAAATTGCAAATCACCGTAAATAGGCAAAGTTCCTAAAGGAATGAAGTTACCGGTGTGATTGATAAAATCTCCAGGCCTGATCACGGTGTTAGGATTAACGATGTAGGTGAATCACTGACGACCAGTTGCAAAAACCTCCCGGGAAAAAGTCTATACACTGTCAGGTCTATAATGTAATTGTATATTATTGTTTATAGCAGAGACCTACAGCGAAGGGTCTATGTTTACAGCTGACATAGTTCATGTAAGAGTTTTCGGGATCTCGAGCCCGACATTATTTACTACATATTTTACACCACTGTACATACACTGACACTGTTTATCGATCGTTTACCAAATTTACTTCAGTTGACCATATAATTCCCCAGACGACTCGTAGTAATAGAATATCCATGTAAGAATCGCATGTAAAGTATTTTGGTCGTCCTGAATTGCGACTTCCTCAGCATGCTTAATGCCCGCATGTAAATTTTACAAGGCCGATTTCGCAACAAAAACTCACTTTACAGACGTTTTTCTGCAAATAACAAGCAGATCACATCGTCCGAAATCTCCAAAAGGCATCACAACAAAAGTTGTAGGATTTTCTTTGGGAAATATGGTATAAATTCGAAAAATTCAGCAGTTCAATAAACCATGCTTTCTCGTTTGGTAAACGGATCAATAATGATCACGTGGAAAAGGGTAAAATTAGTTCAAAAAAGGAACCGAATAGCTACTTAGTATAAAACTAAGTCCAATACAGACACTGTTTTATAATAACATAATAAAACAAGAACATGTCACATAAATGAAATTATTTGCAATAATTACTATTGTATTTTAATTTTCAAAACTGAGAAACAAGACTCAAAACTTCATCAATCTTATTTAAAAGAGGGCAGAGAAAAGAATTTACCTTGAAATAATCATTGAAAACAACACCAGGGTTTCAAATATTTAAGGGAAAGGATACATGTAAGTGACATTGAAATGACACTTTAACACTAAAATAAATGAAAGATTTATCTATAACGTTTGAGAAAAAAAAAACTCTTTTAAGCATTGATATTGAAATATAATTGCATGTATAATTTTCACAAAATACTTATCATGATATGATATGCTCTATATCATTGTCATACACAGACTGTGGAATAATTTTGAATAGCTAGCATATTTTATTTCACGGTTAAAAGAACTAGCGTAATTAATAACTAGATAACCAGGAAGATGGATACATTGATACATGTGAAAACAATAACGCGTTTGGAATGCACCAATTAGTTCTAATAGCAGCCGGATCCATAGGCGTGACATCAGCTATTTGGATTATTTTGGGTTTCTTGTGTAAACGGTATGTTGTATTCTACGTTAGCAGTTTACAAAAAGGTATATGTACATCCATAGATAATGTGCATTAGGTTTAAATCAATGCTTAGTTAACAATGCAAAATAAGTATAAATGTATGTTAAATTTAAAAAAAAAAAAAAAAAAAAAAATTCTAAGGATGAAGAAATGGTCAAATGCAAAATTTATAATTTAAAACGGCAACCTACCTACTTTAATATTGATATGTTTCAGTGAATTATTTATTTGTCCCTTTGTTATTTGGAAATAAATGAATTAAAAGATATTCGCATATTTACATAATTATTAGGTATATATGTCGAGACGCTAATGGCAAGGGAAACAGGAACGCTGAAGGTAAAGTAGATAGTGGACGAAAAGATGAAAATATCTCCAATTAAAAGAATATAAATTGTTAAAACAGATTTCAATATTTGCAAAGATGGAAAATGGCTCAAGATGGGTTTATAACAAGAATTTTACAAACCTGTAAAGAGTGGTAATGTCTTCGAACTTAGCTTGATCTATTAGAGCGATCATTCTTTAAAGTTTGCTTGCTGTACCTGATTACTTTCCGCCTTTAAAACCACTGCGACAATAGGATCATCTATATATTAAAAGATTATTAAATCTGTTCAAATATGCTACTTTTATGTGTCTCTAGGCATAATATTTTTCTAAATAATAAAGTAAAACTGCATCTAGCTTTCAATATAAGAAAATAAAGACAAGACATATTTAATAACAAGTCAACGCTTGTTTAAAAGATGTAAGTGTCTATTGTTAAGACCACAGTTCTGAATTTAGGGATGCAAAAAATAATCCATTTATGTACTATATCTGTAAATAATTTGAAAGAAACTGATAATAAATATCCTCTGGAATAATAAAAAATATATGGTAAAAGGATGTGTTTATTTATTCAGAAACATTTCATAATTCAGAACACGGGCATACTGGTTATAGTTTCATGGAACTATTGTATATTGAGCCAGATAATCAACTTCCTACAACGTCCACGGACTTCCGTCGAATGGAGAGAAACACTCGGCCATCAACAAAGTCACAACAAATCTCAAGAAGAAAGCTTCGAAGGTCTCAGTCACTTTTGGATGGAAATAGCCGATGCGACAGATACTCAGACGATTACAATCATTTAGATTTTCATAAAAAGTTCAAGTCACCCCAAAGGCTTAATACCAATGAAAACTACAGCAAGTTAGATATAATGGCACCACATCGATGCGCAAATACCAACCATGAGGACTTTGAAGAAGAAAGTAGCTATGTTTCCCTTGTTCTAGAGGACACACTGTTAGTTTCAGGTTCAAACTCAATACAAATAGGACAAGGAAAAATGGATAAACAAAGGGAGCTTGACTGTATTAAAACTGAAAATGAAAGCATAAGTAATGAAGATCAAAGTAATGCAGACCTACCAACATACACCAATATAGATGAAACTTGCTCTGACACTAGTAATAGTAAGATTGACATACAAAGGGAGTCACTTGATTCTGCATATTGTAACTTGGAGTTGAATGAAAAAGATTAGATTTTGCCAAGGATAATATGTGAAAAACTGAAACAGTTCAATCATAAATACATGATTTGTACTTTGTTGTTGAAGCAAAAGAATTAATAAATATGAAAATTATCAAATAAATATCATAAAATGTTAAAAAAAAAAATATTAAAATCTTAAAACTGCGTTGAGTGTCTATATAAATTACAAGTATACAAGTTGCTGTCCTTTAAAAAAGGACTGCAATACGTGGACCATATGCATGTTTTTTCTAACTGATATTCAATTAAGAAAATTTGTAGGTGTAGGGAATATTCGTGTAGGTTTTTTCACTTTTACTACAATGATCTACCTAGCACTTAAAACTGATTGTAGTCTCAAAGCAAAATTGTGAAATTTTATCTGCGATTAGCGACCTTTATATAGTTTTTGTCAGTTTAAAAAATCGAGTTATTTTGATACGTGTAATTCACACTGTTCTGGATTAATACGGAGGAAATTCATCATGGGAAAAATGGAGATCTGATGGTTCACGAGTAGCACAGCTGTAGTACGCAGAATTTTTTGGTCAACCCCCCCCCCCCCCCCCCCCACACACACACACACAAACACATTAAAAGCCGTTGCTACAGACCTTTACCAAACGATAGTTAGATTGCTGAAATATTAAATTATTTTGCGAGCCTTGATGCACAAAACTAATCGCCGGTGAAAACTTGCTCTATATTTTAAAAGCTATCTCTATTCGTTGAGTGACGTTTTTCATTCAAGTTGTTAAGTTACATGTATCTATATACCGTAACTTCTGAAAGTGCTTGTACCATAGAATCAATGTTTAGTTTGTATATAAGAGTTTATGTAAAAGAGAGAAAACGGATCTGGCAATGAATATGTAAATGCGATATGCAGATTTAAAAGCGCGATTTGCCAATGAATGGCAAAATTTTCATTCAAATGGGGCGAATTATTATGGGACCGCAGGGTCCACGCAATAAGAAGGCTTAGATGGATTTTTTTTTTTACTTTTGATGGGAATAGTTCCGCAGAGATATTTCCTTGATATATATGATGGTATAATGCATACACTTTTTCGCTGCAGGTTTGATTATTTATTTATCATTTCCAGGAAAGACTTTTATCTCATACTCGTTGAAATGGCAAGCCTCGCGAATTTATACACCATTTCAACTCGTTGGATAAAGCCAATATCAAATTACACAATATATATATCCTCTATTAATGATTTCCGAATAGTTGATATCGCACAGCTTCATAAGCTGATTAAGGATATCTAACAATAAAATAATTCTTAATTCTTTAAGAATTCCGGCATTTTAGACTTTTAATAGATCAGAAGTGATAAAAAGTGCTTGATCCATAGTGGATATACGACTTAAAACAAAAGGGGTCGGGTTGTGATGAACACCATTCTATTCATGAATGGGTTTTTCTTTTGATAAATAACAGTGGAATCATACATTCTCGTGTGTTACGCTTATCCTCGAAGTAAAAACCCAACAAAAAATGTTTTGTAAATATATGTATTATTTATAATCTCTAAATATACAAATTTCCCATTAAATTACGTCCCTACGATCCAAGAAAAGTTTGCTTACCCTAGAACATGGAACACAACGAATTAAAGTAATTCCATAGTAGTTATTTTCATTACAAAAACTAACCTGTTTCAGGAGATTTAGAAAATAGATGCGATCATGTGAACATTACTCTATGGAGCATATCATGTTCTGTGAACGCTTCTTACACTTATTTACAGTCTCCAGTTCATGTTCTGGAATAAGTTTGGGTGTGTCCTGGAAATTTGCATTCCAGTCTCAGAATTCTGACTTTCAGCCTGAGGGCGATTAGGGGGTTGAGAAACGACTTTTGTTAAATCGTTGGAATACATGCATAGCGGTTTCTTTTCCAATGACATGCTAAAAATATATAGAGGAACATACCTACAGGTAACTGCCTTATGACGGTTATATATGCACTTAATTTTTAGTTCCTTAGAGTACCCACCTTAGTATTTTTTTAACGCCTTTTGACAGTTATTTTTTTCTTGCCTTGCCAGTTTTTTCTCATTTGGAATATATATAATATTCACAGCATCTAGTTATTAAAGGCAAGGTTAAATTAACTAACAATTTGAAACCAAAATATTATCTTCTATCATTCGGGATGGTTTTAAAAGCCGTGAAACATCCAAAATAACTAAAACTAGCCCTATTTTGTAGATGTATCCAAGTATGGATTTGCTGAAGCTTCTTAAAATATTTATAGTGATTTAAAAATTTCAAGATGAATTTGTATATTTAAGTACAAATATAATTAACTCCATATTTTGTTTATTTAAGCATTGAATTCATATTTTGGGATGTCTTCGGTCCTATAACACACCTGGCCGTGCCGACAAATTGAATACCGCGCGTTAGCGCGGTATGATAATTTGTCGGCACGGCCAGGTGTGTTATAGGACCGAAGACATCCCAAAATATGAATTCAATGCTTATATTTATATTCTCTTATTTTCCTTTATCATAATTGTTTATTTCGTTCAGGTTTAATGTGAATTTAGCACCCTTCGTTATTGGTGTGCTTAATAAACGTAATAGCCGTTCATGACGTTGGAAAGCCGTTTGTGACGTTGGAAAGTTAAATAACGCAAATAAACATTGCGAGGAAAAAAATGAAAAATTAAATTTTAATGCACATTTGTTGTGATTTTATGTGAATTTTAAAAGGGTAGTTTTTTTAAATGAAATTGAGTCTAAACAATATACATTTTGTTGTTCCTAAATATTGAAAATGCATGTAGTTCCTACTGTGTATTCTAACGCGCGGTGACAAGGTTTCGCGTGTGTTATAGAAATTTGAACGTCGTGGATTTCAAATGGATTTCATAAAGAAAATTACACTGAATGTAAATATTATTGTATGGTGGAATTTCACCAAAACGTTGTATAATTATACTCTATTGTTTATTGTATGATAGATGACCGTGTCATTACTTATAGCTTAGTGTTCTGTACAAAAGCCCCTCATAACTAGATAAGCACTTAGGATTCCCTACTACATGTATCTTCATTTATGTGCTGTCTATTAATTTGGTCGCTCGCATGGGGCAGTGGCTTAAGCGTCTGCTTTAGAGTCACAGAGTAAGGAGTTGATCCTTACGTCAAGGGTTTGAATCCCAATGTGCAAGATCGGTCCTTCGAATGAGACCCTATAAACTAAGGTCCCCTCTTGCAGTTTAGGTATTGGCACGAAAAAGATCCCTCACTGCTCAATGTTACTAAGTACCGAGTATAGGACAAAATTTGCAGCTCTCCATCGGCAAGTGTTCCATCAATGAAAGAAAACATTTGCCAGGCGAACCGAAATATTGATAAAGTTGTTGTTTGTTAAAACTAAATCTTAATGAGGAAAAATCTGTTAACTATTAGAATGTAACATTTAAAGTTTGATAAAAATAAACTTCAGAAATTGTGTTTAATCAATGTTAATTCAAAGTGACGTCATTTGGCACATGTGGTTTAATGACATGTGTAATTCTAAAGAAAAAAATAAAGACGATAAATAATAAAATTGTACCAAATGTATGCTTGACAAAAAATTTATAACAATTTTCTTATATATTTTGAATTTCATTGATGTAACTTGAGGCATAAAATTTTTATAACAGTTCAAAAGTGTAACATATGTTTTGGGACACCCTGTATATCCTATCAGTGGCTCTTATTTCGGCTATCTTGTTAAATATCAGTTGTGAGACCTTTGTTTTATACATAATTGAACACTTAAAGTTGCATCCGGTTTACCCGGTTTTTCGGGTACTCGATCGAACATCCGAGTATCGAATTCTAAAACTTGTACTCGGTTACTCGGATGAATATTTTTTTCTTTTTTCGAACATATATTTATCAAAAACTTATCAAAATGTCTTAAATGTGCATACGATAATTAGAGTGCCATATCATAACCTGTAAAACAGCTGTTATCGTCCGTGGCTGTGTATATGCAATAATTAGGGACGTAGAGTGACCAATCACGGGTACACGGATTTTTTCATCTATTGAGGTTCTTAATTTTTGATTGGCCTCCATGATTTGTTTTTATTGAAGATCGTTTAAGTATGTTCTATGTTCTGTCATCTTAAAATTATTTTTAAATTAATAAGTAAACGGTACCGAAATCCGACATGCATAGATTTGTCGCTACCGACTAAAAATGTCAAGAAATGTTTTGCTAATGCAAATTATTGAAGATTTATAAAAAAAATTATAAAGTCAGCTCTGTGGCAAAAAGAATCAGGGGCATTAAGACCCTAAATATGCCCCAACCATAATGGACAAATTGTTATAAATATTAAAAGAATTATGATTGAATCACATCTTTTCAGATATATTTTGATGAAAAATCCATTTTTAAGACATTTTGGGGGCAATTTAAAAATAACACAATTTTCACTGATTTCTGGAAATTTTTAATAATTTTTTGCTGTAAATTTAATCATAAGAAATAAATGATGGATTTTTAATACAAATACAATAGAAATGATCTTAAACATGTGAATAGAAACTATTTTAGCTAAAAATGGTAAGAAAAAACCCTGAATTTTAATGTAAAACAGTTGTTTTTATGTTCAAAATCAGAGATACATGGGAACTTAACATGTCTTTAAATAGACTCCACTTACAATATTTACTTTATGGTAAAAATATTTTAAATAAAACCCTATTAATTCTATCAAAAACTATAAATGAGAAAAAACCCTTTATATTATTTTGAATTCACATGCAGAAAAATGTTAATTTTTCAAAGACAAGTACTATTATATGTATTTAACAAAAAAGTACATTGAATGCACAAAGTGATGTATTCAACTAACATTTTTAATAACAATTCATTAAACTTGACAAAAAAAACAATAAGGGATTTCAGTTTGTATAAACATATTCCAGAACTGCCCGATCACCTACCTATACTAGTACGAAAAAGATCATAGAAGTTAAACATCACACCAC